CCATACGCTGCTACTCTGGCTTGAAACGTGTGTGATTTCCGACCCTTCCTGCAGATGGTTTTTTTCAAATAGCTGTGTAGTATTGTCACTCTGTGAATGGGAACCACACCATTTTCTATGTGCTTCATGTTTACCACTTGTTCTCTCTGAAGACTTTAGATGATTTCCAATTTTCTTGTATTATTTAATAACACATTTGCCAAAATTTGTTTAGCCAAGTGTGTTTAATATTTCTCTTGGGGTTGTCTCCTTGCTCTTCCTAAAAAAAAAAAAAGCAAATAAGCTATCTTTTTCATTACACATATTAATTCAAGTTCCCACTCCCCCCTCCTCCCATTCCCTCTACATATCCTCCCACCCCTCCTCCATCCAGTTCTCAGAGACAATAAGGCACATTGCTTTGTGGAAGGTCCAAGGCCCTACCTACTATATATAGGCTGAGCAAGGCTTCTATCCAAAGAGAATAAGTTCCCCAAAAGCCAGCACATGCAGTAGGGATAAATCCTGATGTCATTGCCAGTGGTTCCCCAGTCTGCCCAACCATGCAACTGTCAACAACATTCAGAGGGGCTAGTTTGGTCCTATGCTCTCACCTTCCCCTCTTTGGCCTGGAATAAATCCATGTTTGTATTTTCTTTTAGACCATTGATTGTTTCTAAACAGAAAAATGTTTGAAATCTCCATCTGACATATTTGACCTATTGTAGAACGTTTGAGTTCATCAGCTAAAGTTTTGTGCTCTTTTTTAAGGGGAGTCATTTTTGCTTTGAGTTTCACTTTTATTGATTCCTGAGTGGTTATTGGCACATCTGTTGATTGGAATGCCTCTTCTGGATTTTGAAGAATTCTGTTCTTATAGATCAGATTACTCTTCAACTTCAAATTCCCAATACCACTCAGTAATGAGAAAACATGGTGTTCAGAGGACTCGCTCCATCATGGTGGGGAAGAAATGGCAGGAGGAAGATGGGTTGCTGGATACACTGTCTTCATAGTCAAGAGGCATAGTGCTGTTGATAAACTCATATATGTGCTTTTTTTAGAAAATTGGCTAGTTGTCACTATTAATAATGTGTTATTTCAAGTCCTATTTCCTAGGACTTTATTTTATATTTTTGCTTCTTTTTTTATTATGCTTGCACGCACACTTCCCTCAAAGAATTCTTTCCACTGTTTTTTTCTGCAACACTCCTTCACGAAAGTTTAATCATTGATATACCAAACAGCTTTTTCATGCAGATATGTTAGAAAAAAAAACCGATTACTGAGAAAGATGTAACTTGGCAACAATGAGAGCGAGCAGTAAAAATATCCAAAAGCAGTTAATGATTTCAACTTTGGCATAATCTGTTCTTGGCAATGTTCCCCTTCTGATCTAATGGTATGATGGTAGACATGAGAACTGAGATAAAATGAATTCATTATTTATTTTCTTTAGAACACGGAGCACAAGTCATACTTGAAAGAGTATACTTTGTCCTGAACATCACACGATGGAAGACTTTTTTTTTTAGCAAAACAAACTGATGTATCTTATTTTAATAGCTGAATCTGTCTTTGTGTATGGAAGTATGCGATTTTCAATTTAAATATTTTTCCATTGAAAAATTTTTTAAAAATATACTAATAATGAAGTAATTTTTAAAATTGTTTTGATATTTTTCAGTCATGAAGCAATTTTATAGAGAACACCCAGACATATGGCTTATGACATTATGTAATTATTTTAAATGTATTTAAGATATGACAAGTTTTCATATGCACATGCATAGAAATAAAAACTAGATTGAAAGATTACACATGAGACACTCTATGTGTGCAAATACATGTATCTTTTAGCCAATTTTCAGTATCAATACAAAGCTATCAACGCAGTCTATGAGAATATTAAATTCTTAGCTCTTAACTCATTGTCCATAAGCAAATCTGAACCTTCGATTTCTTTCCTCCAGTTTTTTCTCCTTCTTGACTTTAGTAAGCAACTTTCTACCCTTGTATTTATATTTGCGTGACTTTTTTTTTTTTTGTTGTTGTTGTTGGTTTTTCGAGACAGGGTTTCTCTGTGGTTTTGGAGCCTGTCCTGGAACTAGCTCTTGTAGACCAGGCTGGTCTCGAACTCACAGAGATCCGCCTGTCTCTGCCTCCCGAGTGCTGGGATTAAAGGCGTGCGCCACCACCGCCCGGCAAATTCTTTATTTTTTTTTATTTTTTTTTTTGCGTGACTTTTATATTGTTTGTATTTGCTTGACTTTTCCTAAGAGTCCATTTGGATATTTCCTTTCAACTGTGGCTTAAATTGCAGACAACAGTGCCTATGTATGTCATAGTGAAGACTGTTAAGAGTTTATCTTATTAACATCAAAACCATGAAATTGATAAAGGTATACAACCCTATAATCCTGCATTTTGATTACAAATACTTGATTACCTTTTCTTTATAAGAAATATAACTTCTTGTGCTATTTGTTCTTATACATTTTCTTTACATTCTCAAAAATAGTTTAGAACCAGATAGTGTTTTTTTCTCTCTTCTTTCAGATCCAGCACATGAAATGAGCTATAGGATACATGATAGAGCTAAGATACAGGTTAGAGACTTGCTTGAGGGAAGAACTAGAGCAGAAGATGATGTGAGAAATGTTCCTGGAAGGACAGGATCATGGATGAAACGAGTATTCAGTGTGAGGATAACAGAGATGGACCTGTAACAGCTAGAGGGGAAGGTCCCAGTGAGAGACAGACGTGGATGTTCCTTAGAAATAGCGTTCCATAGAAGCGCTATGATTGTGTTAGCAAACGTCACAATGTGTTCGTGTGTTAGATATAGCTAAATTATATTACTGAGCAAAGAAAAATCAGCTTACAGGCCACAAACCCAGAGACATTAGAGAACAAAGAGGACCATAAGAAAGACACATATGGATCTACATAGGAAGGTGAAAAAGACAAAATCTCCTGAGTAAATTGGAAGTGTGTAAGTCACGGGACAATGTAGAAGGGGAGAGGAGAGGAAGGGAAGGTATTGGAGAAAAATGTGTAGCTCAATAAAAAAATAAAAAGGAATCAAGATTCACATTGTGCTGCATTGGCAGAAGGCCCACCTCTCATCACTGTATTCCAATTAAAATATATATAGCTATTTTTGTGTAAAAGATATTGAAATGTATGCCAATATGCTTTTACTTGCGTAATCTAAGTGATATCTTGGATCTTTATCTAGTCACTCATAACACTTGTGTGTGGCTAGCTTTTATTTGATTATATTCATGAAAAGTAACATCTACATGTCTCAAATGTATTTGAGATTTTAATTGCACTTTTACACTTATTAATTGAGCTGGAGAACAAACACAGGACCTTGTTCATTCTGAGCTAGTGCTCTACCACTGAGCTAAATCTTCTGATACAAGTCAGACATATGATCTTAACATTCATAATTAAAAACATATATTTTTCATTAACGTCAAAGCCAAAGTCTAAACAATAACCACCATGCCACACATTTTGGCCACATTGTTCTCTGTCATGGTCATCTGTTGTTTGTCTACTCAACAAAATCTCCCTCAGCCCCACTGTCTCAAATGGAACAAACTAGGTATGCATCAGCCACAAGGAGTGTGGCCTTGCTTCTGCCTTTGCTTTCCTTCAGGACATTTTCTTGGGCAATTCTAGCTCCTCCAGGTCTTCCCAGGAAGAGTACCTCTAACCACCAAACATAATATTGCCATTGGTTACCAGTCCTCCCTAAGAATTTTTTACCGATATTTTCAGATGCTACTTACTATTTTTCCTGTAGCACATAATACATCTCATTTCACTATGTTTTATTTATCAAATTTATTGCTTCTATTTTTACTTTATTTTTCCATTATTAAATGCAAGTTCAATAAGTTATTGAAGAATTATTGGTTCTTACTACTTCCATTTAAATGTGTTTTCATCAGTACTTAGAACAGCATCTATTCCAAATTGGGCACCCAGGAAAAGGTTTTTAACAGAGTGACAGTTATTGCTTTGAAATGAATCTTGATATGTGGTTAAGTGCAATTTTCCTTAGGAAGGCATTATTTACAAATATCACGTTCTCATGTGTTAAAGTATTCAAATGACTGGTTTCAAAGACTTCCATGCTGATTTCTCAGATTGAGATAAACTTGTACATTATGATTGTAGGTTTTCATAGAATGGAGTAGCTACATGGAATATGACTGCCTTATCAAAAGGATTCTTGTAATCTTTAGTTTTCTTTTAATTGGAACGGATTTCTTTTAGTTAATAACTAAATTTCTGTAAGCCTTTGAATTTCTAATGATTTATACATTTTCCCCATTTTACAATGAAGTTCACTTTTCATTAAGAAATTTTTCACATATTCTTTATTGAGTAATCAACATTTGTTAAATATTCACTGTTCATCTTGAGCATTTTTAAACTTCTCATTTAGAGTGCCTCATGATGTTTTGGATTTCAATATTACACAGTCTAAATACATTATTTCAGAGACAGTTAAAAACAAAACCATAGATGATACATATTTTGCTTTGATGTAAAATAACTTTACTGGTATTAAGGAGCATCAATATCTTCTGATTAATATTTAAATAGCATATTGTGGAATAGCATTGATATTAGCTCCATTATTACCATGAAAATTCCAAATGTGGTAGAGGAGAGATATTTTCACAGGACTCTATTGTGATGGATAGTGTGTTTTGATGAGAGAAGGAGAATTTTAATTCAAATTATTGAATAAAGTTCAGTATTCTCTGTTGTATTAATTGTTTTATTAATCCCAGACCAAAGGGTAATCAATTCTGCGGAATTTACTTTATTGACAAATTAAAGGAAACAGACATATTGACCTACACAAGACCCACACAGAGAAAAAGTTGTTTTATTTTTTTTTTAATTTATGGGATTTGCCAGAGAAAAGTAAAAGTAGAAATCAAAAAATTTAAGGTGAGAGGATAGGCAATCTCGCAGAAAACACCAGCTCACGTTCAGCATTTCCCACGATGCTTTAGGTTGATCTTCCCAGAACTTTTCCTATGAAAAACAAATGACAAATACATGCTTACTGCAGTATCTTCAGAGTTTGTCACAGTGCCCAGGGCAATTTAATGGTACCACCTATCTGATTATTGGGGTTTGTTGGTATCTAACTGCTATTCAGCAGAAGTGAATTGAATCCCCTCGTCTAAGTGTGAAAAGAATGAATCTTAGACTAATCTCAACTCTTAGTCTTGAACTATCAATAGTCATTCCTCATGGTTGAGGAGTGAAATGGAGATGGGTGGAGAAATACGCGAATAAGCCATAAGTCATAGTTCTGTCTCGCAGAGTATTTGAGTAAATGAGCCAAACCTTGAAGCTTTTTGCATTTTATAGCAGACTGCGCATGCAAGTTTTTATCAGGTGTATGGCCTCCCGTTCATGCAAATCTCATCCTATACTTCAAACTTCTGTGGAGAAGATTTGCTTTGAATAGGGTAGATACTTTACACATTAATGTGCTGATTACATATTGATATCAGTATTGACATTTTAAACTAATTTAAAAAAAATAAGAAAAAACAGGCCTGAGATGATGGCTCGGTGTTTACAAGAACATTGGCTGCTCTTACAGAAGACCTGGGCTTCAGTCCTAGAACCCACATGGCAGCTTACAAGCAACTGCAGCACTTGTTCCAGGGAGTCTGATACCCTCTCTGGCCTCGCTGGGCATCAGGCATGTACATGGTGCACAGACATATGTGCAAGTAAAGCACTTACATACATAAAACAAAAATGAATAAATATTTAAATAAAATAAAACGATGAAAAGTATAAGACTTATTAAAGGTAAACTGTTACGTGCAAAATGTATTACAAAGAAATTCCCAAATGCTTTATGATAGGTACAAAGTAGTTAAAGTGTTTTTGAAATAATTGCTTTATTCACTTTTGAGACATTTCTTTTCAATCCATTTTCTGGAGGTATATCTTTTCAGTCTCTATTGGAGATATGAATATAACATGCTAGGATAGCTGAAAAAATATTAATCTATCTTTGGAAGCTTATGCTCACAAGACAGGTGTGGTGAGAACAACACTTACGCCAATGCCTTGCAGAAGGCACATTTATTTCCATAGGTGAGACCATCAGAGCCACAGAGTGGGTCGGATTCCCGAGTACAGAAGATATTGGGGTTACGGAACTCACCACAATTAATCTACAATGGAAAAACAACATCAATAATAGCATGTCTAGTAGACTAGGAACAGAATCTTAACATAATGTATCCTGAAATACTTAGGTAGAACATTTTGCTTCATTGAGACATTTTATTAAGCAATAGGAATATGAGAAATACATTATTATACTTGAGTAAATTAATAAGGCCAAATGCTACAAGACTTCTTATTCCAACTTTAAATTGATGTAGTTGAGAGTAGTTTTGGGTAAAATATGTCAAATCTTTAATAACAAGTACTGTGTTAATGTTTTCTAATAGTACTTTTGCATACTATCAAAACATGAATGATCCTTGCAGGGCAGTTTCTAGACAGTACTTGAAACTTCTTAGTTTTTCCTGTGAATACCCCTTTATATACTGAAAACAAAATTCTAAATGCCTTTGCACTAACTCAAAGAACCTGTTTGTAGAATATGAGCTTTGCTGACTACTATAGTCATTTATTAATGGTCCCTGAAACTTGTGTGTTTAGAAGGATCTAGAGGTTTCATTCAGACTTTTGAGCACATTTGTTAACATTGAATTAAGAGCTGCGATCACAGAAATGCATAGAAGTATCTATGTTACTAACATCCTATCCATTACACTAATCAAAAATTATTTAATTAGTAGCAGTAAAATGCTTGCCAATACAAGAACAATAAATTGATAATTGGTGTATTTTTATTTCAAGGATATTGACATCATGAAATCCATTGAACAAAACTAGAGATATCAGAAGTAACAGAGCAATAATTTACATAAGAACAAAGCTTTAATCTTGTTCTCCCTCCACTAAAATAATATCCTCATGTTTTTCAGTACCTCCAAGTTAATCATTTTCAAAGTTATTACTTCATTTAAATCTGAAATTCCACTGAGAGATAAGAGACTAGAGTATTTTGGAACTGAAGGCCTTAACCATGCTTGAACATATTCCTTCTCATTTGAGTCCAGAATTTCCAAGAATCTACTGTGGTTGAATAATTGAATAATAAAATATCCTTATTGAGAGAATTAGACTCAGTGTTACTTTGTGACCACAGTTATGATCAGGACACACTGATTTCATTAATAGAGTTTATCAGTTTTACTGAACAACATAAATGTTATAGATACTGAAATTGTATTGTACTATAATTCCCGCTAACTGAGTAGATTTTAGCTGTTATTGTCACAAAAAAATGGTTAACTATTTGGGGTAATAGATATAGTACCTTTATCATAGTATCAGTTTATTTATTTATTTATTTTACCCTTTAACATCATGTTGTATACCTTGTTTTGGAAATAGGATAGTAGTAAAACCAATGAGCCTTGGCAAGAGTAATCCCTTGTTTACAATGGCATACACCATTATAAATTTGTCCAAACCAAATTTGGCCAAATTTTTGCATGGAAAATTCTTCATTGAGCACCACAATTAATCCAGCCTCTTTTTCTTTGGGAAAGCAGCTACAAAGACAGGCAATTGGGGAGAACATTCACTTTGAATATTTCTCATGCCCTAGGCTCTCCTCGAGTTTACCCACTACCTTCTCCTGCTGCTTGGAAAAAGATTAGGAGGAGCAAAGGGTTTTAATAAAGAAATTACACTGATCAGCTAGCCTGTGAACAAACTGCCTCATGACAGATAGATAGCTCAACATTGATAATTAATTAGTGGGGTGCTTCAAGAATCTGCAGGGAGCTGAGAAGTGTGTTCTAGAACTTTCTCTATTGTTGGTTGTGTTATCCTAAGTGAAACAACTCCTGTGTTTTTAATTACTTGAATGAAGAAAGCATTCCTCAGACATCAGCCATGCCTTGTTCCCAGATTCTTAGGGCCGTCTCAGAGACCAAATATGGCATAGGGATTTGCAACATTATTGTGGAATGTTTAAAATGGTTCCTGGATTGGATTGCAGAAAGATATCTCTTTATTGGGGGCCTCTTCTTAAGGAAGCTACAAGAGTTGTTTCCAGTCATATAACCTGGTATTTTCCATCACTGATACCCTAATGGCCTTTCTAGCTTAGATGGTCTCAAAGTAGCTATGACTTCTTTCAATGAAGTGGTTTAAATGAAGCTTTTCCTGTCTTTAGTTCTTCAGCTGGATGAGAAATGTGATCCTTCTTGCATCAATACTTCTTCTGCATTGAGGGAGGCCTCTGCATCACTGAAATATTTACTCAAGATTGTTGGCATCAGAAGAAGAACCAGGAGATTGAAGAGTCACCAGATGTTACGGCAGTGTCATGGACAGAATGAGAATTTTGCTTCTCATACTTGTCAGCTTCTTTATATTGGGTTTAAATGTCTAATGTATACAACAAGAGGCTGGTAACACAAGATATTTTCATATTTGGATTGCTTTCATATTTAACAAGAAATGCCACTCGATTTTCTTTGATATTCAAGACTTATATCAGTCATTTATTCCAGTATTTTCTCCCTCCCCCTCACCTGATCCCTCCTGTTCCCAAGACTGGAAATTGAGGGGTGGGGATGTGGGGCAAGGTAGAAACTGAGTGCAATGGTAACTGCATGGTGTCTATAAGAAAAACCCTATCCAAGACTCCTGGTAATGCAGTACATGGGATCCTGAACCGGCCAACTTCCGTACCCAGACAAGGGCTCAAGTAAAAGGATTAGGGCACCAACCTAACCTGGAGACTTGCCACCTACAGTTTATCCTGCCTGCAGTGTTCTGGGGAGGGAGCCTAGCAGAGCCATCATCAAAGAGACCATGGAGACTTCATCCAACAACTGACTGGAGCAGTCACAGAGTCCCATAGCCAAATATGAGGCAGAGTTCAGGGAGTCCTGAGGGGGTGGTGCGAAGGAACCAGAGAGGATAGGGTCACCATGAGAACACAGTCTACAGAATCTCAGGGACAGGGACTCATGGGGACTTGCAGAGATCAAGGACCCTGTGTGTGGGGGGTGGTGGGTCTGACCGAGATCCTCTGCATATGTTATTGTTGTATAGCTTGGTGTTCTTCGGGGGTTTCCTAACAGTGGGAGCAGGGGCTGTCTCTTACTCTTTTACCTTCTTGTGATATCATTTTCCTCCTACTGGGTTGTCTTATCCAATTTTGATATGATGGTGTGTGTCTGGTCTTACTGTAGCTTGTTATGCCGTGTATGGTAGATCTCCCTGGGAGGCTTGATCTTTTCTGAGGGTAGGAGGAGGTGGTAGGTTTTCTGGAGACTGTTGGGGGAGAGATACTGAGAAAATAGGAGGGAGAGGAAACTGCGGTCGGGTTGCAATATATGCGAGAAGAATATATATGTAGAATTTATAGTCCTTTCTTGGGTACCAAACTGAGTATCGGCCTGCCCCCTGTGGTTCCTCAAAGAACTGTTATCTGCTAAAAAAAATTCTGGAAAGGTATGACATTTCAGTACTCAGATTAGCAGTATTTGTCGAGACAATAGAATTGTTTACTTTTGTTGAAATTTGAGCAACTATGCTCATAAAGTCAACTAAAGACTCGAGATGGTTACTATTTTAATCATCTTAAGTTTATAGATCAAGCCAATGAAAATATACATTCTCACACACAAGCACAAGGGCTTAAGGGGAAAAAAGGATGCCTTTTAAATCACTTCCAGTCAATCCAACTGCATCCTTCGTCAACTCCAGTCTTCCTAACCCACTTCTATCTAGACCAGTGATTCTCAATCTGTGGGTCATGACCCCTTTACAGGGGTCACCTAAGATGATAGGAAAACACACATATTTATATTATGATTCATAATAGCAGCAAAATTACAGTTATGAAGTAGCAACAAAAATAATTTTATGGTTGGGGATCACCACAACAAGAGGAATTGTATTAAAGGGTTGCAGCATCAGAAAGACTGAGAACCACTGGTCTAGATTAGCCTTCCCCTTTTATGTGCCTCTCTTCTCTTAGAAGTGATCTGCATAAATGATGCTCATGAGAATACTTGCTACTAATGAACTCTACACTGGTTTCTTATGATACACAGAACTCTTGATCATCAAATCTTTTTCAACTCCTAGATTTATAAATATGTCAGTTCCTTTGTTCTTTAACTATTCCTTTTTGTTTTTTCCTCTTTAATAGTTCCTTTAAGATTATACATTTTCTCAAATAATACTGATTGAGCCAAGGTTTTCATTTTTGAAGTTTCATTAATAATTCACTCTCTAATTTTCGTGTCAGAGGATTAAGACACTTGCAACCACTGGCTTAATTCGTAGATAAGAATTACTTATTTCCGAAGCATGTCTTTTTTCCCTGTCAACTAGACTTTTATTCTAAGTGATCCATTTTGATGACAGTGCTTCTCTTCAAATTCCTCAGCCTGCTCTTTGACTGAAGTTGCCATTTTCCCTTTGAAATGTTCTCTCTCTCCCACTCTTTTCTTTCTTTCCTTCTTTCTTTCTTTCCTTCCCTTCTATGCTAGTTCCATTTAGTACCAGCAAAAGTCCTTAGCATTTCTCGTCTGACCAATACCGTACGTTCCGTTCTATGGAAGCAATTTCCTACTGGTATCTAATCCTTTCTACATTTGAAGAAATGTTATTTTAAACTATGATTTTCATCCTATTCCTTGCAGAAGACAGGATGACAATAATCAGCACATCTGCTTTATTGGAGAATCGTTTGGTTGAAGCCTTTGGCAGAGAATACATGGATCTATGATGCTGATTACAGCTAAGTCAATAGAGACTCAGCAGTCTGGGGTCTTTTCCACCCACTTCCTGCTCCTGAGACTTAACCCCCATTCTCTTCACCAAGCTTCAAGGTTTTGTTCCACCTGTGGTTACATTGTGGATACTCTCCAACCCCTTTAAACTACATTTAAATATTACCAGTACATGGATGGAGCTAGAAAACATCATATTGACTGAGGTAACCCAGACCCAGAAAGACAATTATCATATGTACTCACTCATAAGTGGTATTTAAACATAAAGCAAAGAAAAGCAGCCTAAAAATCACAATCCTGGAGAACCTAGACAACAATGAGAACCCTACAAGAGACATACCTTAATCTAATGTACATGGGAAGTAGAAAAAGACAAGATCACCTGAGTAAATTGGGAGCATGGGGACCATGGGAGAGGGCTGAATGGGAGGGGAGAGGAAAGGAGGGGAGCAGAGAAAAATGTATAGCTCAATAAAATCAATAAAAAAGAAATAAAAATATTACCAGAACATTAATATTAAGCAAAACTTAGCTAGTTGGAAAGATTCAAGAACCTCAAACTCAGTAGTAGAATGTTGTTTTACAAATATTCTAAAACTAGTCAGTCTTTTTAAATATCATAGTTAGTTGTGCCTAAAGCACTACAGCAGAAACTGTTGCTAGGGCCATACATTTAAATGGCTCTTTAAGGTTAAGACATCCAAACTTTGAGCCTGGAAAGTGAAAATAATAGAAAAGCAGAAAACGTTCATTCTCTCTGGTGCCTAGGCTTATCTGGTATGGCATTCATTACATTAACTAGTTAGTCTTAAAATTACATGATTCTCCTGCCTCAGCCTTCCCAGAGCTGAGGCCACCATGTATGGGTATAACAAAACACACCCGGTTACCATGAAGAATGGTTGGAAAAGAACATGAATTTCATAAAGGCCTATAATTAGGAGTGTACACTATAATTTCCCAGAAGATGTGTCATGGACAAAATTCCTGGCCTGGGAAGAATGTCTTGGGTGCTGGAGGAAACCTGCCTTCCTTTTGACTTGGCTGTGCCTGACTTGAGCCAGCATGTTCCTAATATCAATAATTCCTTCAGCCCTACTCTCCCCTTGGCCATGAAGAAGAAAGAGGAAAGCCGCTTGGGTGTGGTCTGGGAGGACAGAATCTTCCTTTTATTTTATGGATCCAAGGTGACAGACAGCCTAGGCAGTGCAGGCTTGGTTCACAATGATTCAAATATTTACTTCAGCAAGAGGCTTTAGATAGCAGTGTACCTCAACCTTCATCTTCAAAGGTGAAAATGGAGCTATTGATAAGGGAAAGATATAAACCAAAAAAACATGACAAGTAACTGTGAATCAGATGTCATTCACCTTATCTCACTCCAAACCAGTACTTCACACTCTATCTTGGTTGCTGTTCCTTTTTTTTTTTAATTGTTAGATTAGTCTGTGTAGGTATCATCTATACAGTTGTATAGAATGCAGATTTAAACCCCTGAGCCATTCAACTGTTACTGAAGGTCTTCCATGAGGATTCGTGTATTTAGAAAGCATGTTAGGGGGCCCTGAGGCAAGCAGACTGTAAGATGTTGGCTAATGGAAAAGAACAGGATAAATAAATGGGAGATATTATAGAACAATATAAAGTACAATTAAACTCTCAGAAAAGAAAATTCCAAGAAAGGAAGTGTCTGATGGTTAATGGGAAAAGTGGGATTAAGTTTCAAATCCTTTAGTTTTATGTGCAATGCTTCTATTTATTTTATTCATCTTATTTTACAGTCTAATGGAATATGAAACATATTGGCTGAGTCTTTGGACCTTCTGAATTGCTTCCATATTTAGCATAAACTGTACCATAACATTTGGTTGAGCACATATATTTTATGATATAGACTTGCATATAAGAGCCACACTCTACCCAGGGCAGAAAAATACAGACAGATGGGGGGTCTCACCTTTTCTCCTTGACCAAAGGCACCTGAAAAACAGCATAAATTCCAAACATTGTAATTTCTGAATGTGTAAAAGTAAGATCTACAAACTTAGCAGAAATATGCACACCTCTTTCTGATTGTTGGCCAAGTCATGAAGCCTCAAAATGTCTTGTTTTGTGTCTGTTCCCTTCTTGGGGATCAGTAGACCATGAAGAGACACATTTGTTGGGGATTAGGATTAAGAGACTGCTAAAGGTTTAAAATCTAGAGATTAATGTCAATGCTTTGACCTTGTTTTTCGCTCACAATGGGAATGACTTTATCATCTTTGGTCCCTCTTCATAAAAGAGGAGTTGGAAAGAGTCCCCTAACCCAAATTCCAAGGTGAAGCCCTTGCCTTTACTGTCAAAAGCATGTATCATGGTCAGTGGTGATGTTAGCTGTTTACTGAACTCAGCATTACCCTTCTGTTTATTCTATTGAAACTCAATTTTAAAGATATGGCTCTTTAAATATGCATTGTTAAACACCGATCCCTCCTCTTTCCATGCCTCATTTTCTATATCTTCTCTATTTCTTTAAATTTCTGAAGGCGGGTTCCTGCGCAGCCTTACTTCTCACTCTCTTCTTCCTTTTTAATATTAACACCCATGGTTTTAAGTGTGTGCTGCATTTGGTACAACTGCAAATGTACCAACACCTTCTATCTGTGTGAGTCCAAGACTTCTTCAGTGAGCAAGTACAGACAGATGCTGCTGCCATCATGACCCAGTACTCAGGGATGACATGCAGAGGTACTTCCAAATGCAATGCATTAATGGATGCAGGAAAGTCCTCCACATTTAGACTTTATATGGGCCTCATCGTCTCTTCCAGAAGCTTTACCAGCAGCACTGATTCATAACTGTCAGAGTGAATGATTATTATGAGTACAGAGCCTTCTGCTACACTATTGGAAAGTTATGTTGTGAACCCATATAGTGCCCAGAAATCTGTATTTTGTAAATTCTGTTAGTGATTTTTATGGTCTTTGAAAATTAATTATTGCCATTTTCAATGTTTCATTTTGAAAAACCTGTACCTGGTAAAGGGAGGATTTGCCCACTGTTCCATATTTAGAAAATGGCAAGGCAGAAGATAGATTCATATTGATCATGCTTAAGAAAAATTACTCTTTTGTTTTTTAATTATGGCGTTAATTTAAGATATTTGTTGAACACTTATTGTATACCAACTACAATGTCAAACACTTTATATTAGTTTTCTCATTTATTTCCCTATATAGGAGTAGTTATTCTACATTTTCATTTAATACATGAAGAAAAAAAAACGTAAGAAATGTTTTTTTGTTTTTGTTTTTTTTTTTGGCTTTTTTTCGAGACAGGGTTTCTACGTAGCTTTTGGTTAACATCAGAAATGTTAGAACTGGATGATGGAAAAGAAATGCTAGGACTTAAATTAACTTTCTCAGTTTCAGCATTAGCTTTCTTTGAGCATGATATCCCAAAGAGTGACATTTGATGTGTCTAGAAAGCATCCATGCTCTGAGAACTCAGTACTTTTGTAAACTAGATATTGATAGAGTAAATTCATCTCTACAAAGGATGACAACTGATTGCAAGGGCTAAGTTTTAGCATAGGTCTAACTTTCTGGTACTTCACAAAATATTTTTGAGTAGTTTAGTTTTAAAACTTATTCAGCAGTATTACAGGAATTTTTCATCTATTTTTAAATACATCTTTTTATAAGAACTTGTTTCTGTAAATATGACTAACTAGAGTGAGTTTTCTCTACCAACTTAATTTCATCAAAAATTAAAAAATCTTTAACTTGAAACCTTGAAGGCAATGCAGTTTATCGCCTACAATCCCAGAAAATGATACATCATCCATGAAAACCCACCTTCTTCCTTCAACCGAGCTTAGTCTCATCTCTTAGCATTTACATAGGAAAGACTATCTAAGAGGATATATAGGGTACCAGTGGGAACGATGGGCCAATTTACCCCAGTGGACACTCTGTCCATTAACAAACATGTTCATCAAGGGGTTCCTTTGGCTCAGAAATGTAGTCTTTTCATCCCCAGATGAATGTTACTTTACAGTGCGACTTTGAACCCCCTCAGTTGATAAAATGCATATCCATTGCTCATTTAAGTGGTTCAAGATATTGCCTGCTTGAGAATTAGTTTTCTCTTCTTGTTGCATATGCTTCTTCTTTCTAAAGCTCCGTAACTTTCTTTTCAAAGCTTTCCACACTGAGTTTCTACCCGCCCTCCCCCCCCCGGGTTAATTTCAATTACTTTCGTCTCTTTGAAATAATAAAAAAAGGACAGGAAAGTTTTTCTGAAAAGGCAAGATTAGTTGTAAGGCCAATTATTATCTTCTACATTTGTGCTTTACAAATGAGCATCAACTGTGAGGTTCTTAAGACCTTAATCAAAATTATGTTTCTATTGACTTGTTGTAATTTCCCTTTCTGTGTCATAGCATCTTATATGAAGAACGGGTTCTGAACTCCTTACAAGAGAGTCAGAGATGAGCTCTAGCTGCCCTTGGTACAAGGCTAGAGCAAAGCATGCTCTCTGTGAATGAGACTCCCTACCATCTTCCCAGCCTCATTGTCATCATCGCTGCCACCGTCATCATCATTAGCATAGTCTTTCTTAACTGCTCTTTCACATAAAAGTCATGAGACTTTGGAAATGCCAGGAAGATCTACACTTCTCCTTTCTGCTTCTATGTAACAGGGGGATGTTAATTTTAAGGAACAACTCACCTGAGAAAAAGCAGAGAAGGGTCAGAGACAGGAGCAGAAAGACACCTGCTATTTTCATGATGCCAGTTCACTCACTCAGATCAAGGCCGCTTTGCTCAGCTCAGCTTAGGTTCTCTGTCAAGACAGTTCCAAAGAAACCTAGAATAAACACCCAGACTTATATATAGAGAGAGACAGCTTGAACGGAGTTGGGATCTCCACCTTCTTTATAAAAATCTCCTTCTAAAACCATGTGCAGTCCTATCCACCTTAGGCATTTATGATGCTCGTCACCACCTTAAAGAAATGCCTCATGGGCCCCATCAATCTTAAGAAGGAAAACAATTATGTGAGTCGCACCTTAGATCGTATAATGGAGGATGCTACTTTCTTCCAGTAACCTACATTTTCCTAGCAACCAATACATCCCCCCTACTTGTTCCCTCTAAGGCTCCACTGTATTACAGGATGACTCACAGGTGGTGTTCTACTGCTCCTTATGTCTCTTTCAGACAGGTCCTACATGTCTGTGCTCCAGATGAGTAACCACAGGGGAATGGAATTCCTGGGTGGAGCTTGGATTTTCCACATCTTCAAGATGTACTTGAAGGAGAGAGGCATTCTTCATTGTCACCAGAGCTTCATCAGAATGAACATTTTAGGGCAGGAATAAGCTTGTCGGTTCAAAAGTCACTGCTGCAGTCCAATGGCAGTGATTTCCCATTTTTAAATTAAAATCAAGCCAATGTCTTACTTTCATTTTGTAAAAAACATTGAAAAGTTACTATATTGAGAATTTGAAGTAAATAATATTGAACAGTTTCGTGATTCTTCAAGCTAAAAATAGAAGTTATAATAGATAGCCTCAAGTTTAAAATCTTTGTTTAAGATGTCTTTATGTAAATTAAATGAACCTAGTAAGTATAAAACCTATCAAAGGGTAAGATGTCAGAACACTTTATAGAGAACAGAACTATGAACAAAGAGAAAGTTATAGTCATAGTAGGAAATTCTGCCTAGAAATATATTTTGCCATTTAAAATACACTGAGGTAAATGATAACAATTTAAATAGGAAAATTTTATAAAATGTTCCCCATTGAAACATGGGGTATTGGTGTAATCTCTTCATAAGAAAGCTATATGTTATATGTCAAATAACTTTTTCTCTGCATTTAAAATGTATATATCACATGTTCCATTTGTCTCAAGACATTATATTTTCTTTTGAAAATTATTTGAAAATTTTAATGATATACTTCAAGAGCTAGGATGGATTTTGTGTCTTTCATAATGATTGGCATGGCAGTAATGAGCCTGCAATTTGGCTGCTCCCATGTATAATTAAAGGGAATCTTAAAAGTTGAAAAAAAAATTATTGACAAACTCTTAGACTTTACAATCAGAATGTCATCAATTTGATCAATAGGAATTGTAATTGTGACAAAAATAATTATTTTCATAACTCTTCTGATAATTATATGACATAGATGTCCCATTCAGGGCTGAGAATTCCACAGACTATTTTTCTTTGTACCTTGACCAGTTGTGGAAATCTGTGTTAATCTACATTCACTTCAAAGAGAAGTTCCTATGATGAGGCTCAAGAGAGGCACTCATTTAGTAGTACAGTGATGTGTTATTAAGATGAAAAATTGCCAGAGATGGCAAAGCCTAGTCCCCCTCCAAGTGTGGTTCATGAGATGCAGGAAGCAATTCCCTCCAGGCAACCCAGGGGCAGCTAAATGAGCGTGTTACTTGAGGGCCAAGGAGGAAACACCTATATGCCCCGAGAACCACTTCTATGGCATCTGCATACGTATTTGGCAATGTTACAGATGATTCTGGCTATAGTGATTCTACTAGTGTACTTGTTCTTCATGTTCTTTCTCTCCTTCCACACAAGTGGCTTCTGAAAATATGGATGTGCTATATGATAAAATGAATCTTCCTGATCTGATAGAGTGGGCAGCCATTGAAGCTATAAAACAGATTATGGAAAAAACCTGACTGATGAAAGAAGTGGGGAAATCTGGGGAAACTGCAGAAATTGTTTTTTTTTACATGATTATAAAACTTGGCAAAAGAATTATACTAAAACAGAAAAGAACTTGGTTATGATGAATGAAGATTCTGAAGAACCTAAGGCTGTAGGTCTGACTGCCTATGACCTTATAAATCAAAATTGAAATTATGAGGAATAACAATGAGAAAGGTCCAGCGATGGAGTAAAACCTGCTGAACTATGTCTGTAAACAGCAAGTAGTTAGCTTTTGAGGTGAGAGCCTCAGCAGTTGTTTAATGATTAACTCAGCTAAGAATTAAGAATATAGTGGTTGGAATGGAGCTTGGGAACTGGGGAAATGTCATAATGAATGATGATGCTTCGATTTCAAAGAATCTTTATACTTCTTGTGAACTGCTTGGCCATGTAATGATTAACCTTTGACAAGGAAAAAGAGTAATTTTCCTTATGTGAAATTTACAATAAAAGACTGAGGTTTAAAGCTCAAGGCAGAAGAAAAAAGAGGAAGCTGAAGAAGAAGAAAAAGAAGAAGGAGGAAAACGAGGAGGAGGAGGAGGAGGAGGAGGAGGAGGAGGAGGAGGTAGAAGAGAAGGAGAAGAAGAAGAAGAAGGAGAAGAAGGAGAAGAAGGAGAAGAAGAAGAAGAAGAAGAAGAAGAAGAAGAAGAAGAAGAAGAAGAAGAAGGCTGTTTCCCCGCAGCTGATAGTTAATCAGTTTGTATCAGAATCCTGTGTTCGTGTACTTTTTCTGCCTTCCAGACATCCCAGATTCTAGACCCACTTCTCTGCTGAGGCTGGTCCCCAGCAAAAAGTGACACAAATGTTGGTATGACTCTGAAGAACAGAGAATACTCATTCATAACTGGTAGGATTATAAACTCATCCAGCTTCTGGGAAAATCAGTGTGCTGGTCCTTTAAAGAGTTAGAAATAGATCAAGCAGATGATCAAGCTATGCCATTTCTCAGGATATACCCAAAGAACTCTATGGCCCATTATAGAGACACTTCCTTATTCATGTTCATTGTTACTCTATTTAAAATAGCTAGTAAATGAAACAGCCTAGATGCCCAGGATGATGAATGGATAATAAAAATCTGGTACATTTCCATAATGGCATAGTTTTCATCTGTGAAGAAAAACACTATGTATTATGAAATTTATATGTGAAGAGATGGAGATGGAAATAGTCATTCTAAGTGAGGTAACCCTGGATCAGAAATACAAATACATATTTTCTCTTATTTGTGGATGTAAGCCTTGAATATTTAGATATGTGTGCTTCATTTGGAGTACCTACAGAGGTTAGGAAACTAGTAAGAGACTATAGGGCAGGATTCAAGGGGAGAAAGATAGCACACAGTGTTATAAAGTGGTAAGTGGTCTAAAATGGAGCAGGAAAAGCGGGATAGGGGTTCGAAAGCAGAGTACAAAAAAGAAAACCCAGAGGAATAAACAACACTAAGAACCTTCTAAAAGTCATGTAAAACTTCTGTGCAGAAATTCCCAAACTATAAACCTATACATGGATAAAATGAATCAAAATGGAATTATTCTATAATAGGGAATGTTACAACTAGACACTACAGAACCATAGATTAAAAAGTACAATGCCAGTAAAAAGTAACCTCTATTGGAGCTGTTGGCCAGTGGGGGTCTCATAGATTCCCCAAATCATGTTTACTATTCCCATTGCTCTTGGTTACTCTCCAGAATTGATGTTAAGTCCCTATTGCTGAAGACTCCACATACATGAGTCATAGAATGTGGAGAAATCAAACTGTGTCTGTCTGGAAGCTTCATTGCTCATGGCTAGCTTTCATGACGCTGGGATGTGCTATCATGCTATCAGAGGAGGAAATGCTCATCATTCCTATCTAGCTGTAAACACTGTAAGCTACAACGACAGGCCCAGCAAGATATTGGTACAACTGTGGCATGAATATCTGGGGAATTAACCACCTTTTGGTTGGATTTGAGGACCTCTCAACAAATTGGAACCCACAGCTAGCACACCTATAAAGATGTCAATAACCTGTTCTTGGATAGGTCATAGGCCTAGTATTAAACCGGCTGTCAATGATATTCTTTAATCAATACATGATTAAATTATACATACTAAACAAAGTCCACATTGCAATACTTTCTTTAGAACAGTTATTTTTAAAGGCAAATATTCTAAAATGGTATCATGAGACCTAAAACTGCCTTAATAGGTCTTATTTTATTTACAAAATGGGCCAGGTGTAGAGGAAGCTGCCCTTAGTCCCAGCACTTAGTAGTCAGAAGCAAACAGATCTCTGGAAGTCGGAGGTCAAATTGTCTCATAGCTTGTTCCAAGACAGCCAAAGCCACAGAGTAAGATCTTGTTTTAAAACAGCAGACCATGACTTTAAAAAACGTAATATTTTTTTTAAAACTCAACCAATAAGATATAAGCATTCCTGAAAGTATTGGAGACCTTAACTGCTATAGCAAAAGTCAGCTGGTGGTCAGGTGAGTCTGCCTCTTCTAAATCTGCTTTGGTTCCATTTGCTTGCCTTATTTGTTATAGATTGCATAAAGATATTGAATTTGACATCCCCCCCCAATTTTCTCTGATTATCATGCTTGAGTATGTAGGCAACCAAAATCAAAATTGAAGGTCAGCTTTTTGCAATGTCCGTACTTTCAGATGCCATTTCTCCCTGTGTCTAGTTCATGCAACCTATCGCTTCCATTTCCTTAACACCTCACCTATCTCGAAAAGGTTGAGTATGTGTTCTATTACCATACAAAACCACATAGCATCTATCTACCATATCTCTCAGTGTGTCTGTTTGACTGTCTGCCTATCTGTCTGTCTATCTATCTATCTATCTATCTATCTATCTATCTATCTAATCTATCATCTATTCATTTACTTAAATATTTACTTTTGACACATCAGCTATTGAAACCAAGAACTTCTGCATGCTATCCAGATACCCTACTTCTGGGCTACTAATTTATTTTTAGAAGTTTTAATATATATATTAATATATATATAATATATATATACATATATCAAAGGATACTT